AAACGTTCCCTGCTCTCGAAATCGCTCGGTTTCCGTATTTAGTTCTTCTTTTGAAATCCCAAGTAGCATCTGATAATATTCATTTGACTGGACGTTATCCACAAATAGCTGACGCAAGTTAAAAACATCATCATCCAAGTTTGCCCCTGTCAAACCCAAGTCCTCAAGGTGTTCATTGAGCTTTGTATTGGCATCATTCCACTCCAACATGTTACGCAGTTGCTTGAGGATGCTTCTAAAAGCGCAATCACCGTCTCCTTCCACAGGATCGATTAAAAGATTGAATATGTAGGAATACATGGGAATACATGGGAATACATTGGAATACATGGGAATACGTAGGAATACGTAGGAGTACATGGGAATACATTGGAATACATGGGAATACGTAGGAATACATGGGAATACATAGGAATACATGGGAATACGTAGGAATACATTGGAATACATGAGAATACATGGGAATACATACGAATACATGGGAATACGTGGGAATACATGGGAATACGTAAGAATACGTAGGAATACATAAGAATACATGGGAATACGTACGAATACATGGGAATACATGGGAATACATAGGAATACATGAGAATACATGGGAACACATTGGAATACATGGGAATACGCAGGTATATGTAGGAATACATGGGAATACATGGGAATTCATTGGAATACATGGGAATACGTAGGAATACTTAGGAATGCATAGGAATACATGGGAATACATTGGAATACATTGAAAGGTATATATCGAGCTCAGGACATTTTATGGGGTCATACATGGACTCCTGACCGGTTTCCCGACGCTATGACGTAGTCCACAGTCATCGTTTTGTAAAGGCTCCGTTTTCGACCTTCCACACTAAAACGATATGCCTGCGTTTTCAAATGTGTCCGTTTTCAAATCGATTCTTCTTCATTTGAAAACACATCCGTTTCAAGCGTTTGAGTGTGGACGGAAGGCCCAAACGCATCGAAAACGCATTGTTTTCGTTGGAAAACGTTTTCCAACGAAAACGGGTAACTTAAGAACCAGAAGGGAAGGAAATCAGTTTTTGTTTTCCCTTCCTTCCCTCCCTCCCCTTCCACGCGTGGACACATGATTTTCAACCACTTTTTTTTTATTTTTTTTTTACATAAAGAGTGTAAGAGTAACAGGCAGTAAAACTATTCATACAGTAATGACTTTATTTTTGTATGCCTTTCTTTCCCTGTAGGTCGTTTTAATCATAACGGACGGTGCGCAAACTCCTCCAGAATCACCCGACGTACCAGCTGATGCACTTAAAGATAGGGGCTTTGAGATTTACGCTATTGGTGCCGGAGATGCCAGGAGTCATTACCGGGAATTGGAGAGGTTAAAAAACAAAGATCTGTTCTTTGTACAAAGGCCGAGTGAACTTCCCAACAAAGTTAACGATGTGGCACAAGCCCTCTGTCCGAGTAAGTTATAAGATAATTTCGCCACCGTAGAGAGATTTCAAAACTCACATTTCGAGCGTTAAGGTCTGGTAATACGGCAACATTTTTCTTCAACTTGTCTTGCAACATTGTTGCATTGCAAGTTGAAACCCTTTGTTTAAAATTTGTCGCAGAAAGTATAACTCGAGTCTACTTTGCGCAACACATTGCCTCAACTTCCAACACTATATTTTGTTGCGAGACAAGTTGGTCACGAACGTGGTAATACGCGCAACAAAGGGTTTCAACTTGCAATGCAACAATGTTGCAAGACAAGTTGAAGAAAAATGTTGCCGTATTACCAGACCTTAACGCTCGAAATGTCAGTTTTGAAATCTCTCTACGGTGGCGAAATTATCTTATAACTTACTCGGACAGAGGGCTTGTGCCACATCGTTAACTTTGTTGGGAAGTTCACTCGGCCTTTGTACAAAGAACAGATCTTTGTTTTTTAACCTCTCCAATTCCCGGTAATGACTCCTGGCATCTCCGGCACCAATAGCGTAAATCTCAAAGCCCCTATCTTTAAGTGCATCAGCTGGTACGTCGGGNACCCTCCACCGACGCACCACCACAATTTCTTCAGAAATTTACCACCGTTATTTAAGTTATGGCTTGCTACTTCGTTTACTGGTTTGTTTTAATCGTTGAGTTAGGCATATTCTAGCAAGGTTTGTACAACTGTGACCCTTTCTACTTTTCAAAAACCCCTATGTTAAACTAAATTGGTTAATTTATGACCAGTAAAATCTCGTGACCCTCTCCCTTCCCAGAGTTAAGCGGACACTCTCACGGGTGAATGCCGTAAACTTAATTGTACGTTAAACAGAGATTTTGACTTTACAAAGCCTAGATTCTATATAATCCATTATTAAAAACTGGATCAGTGGATAATGCAATTCAAGACTTTTTATTGGCTTAGCCATTATGGTATATGAGCCGATATACCATAATCTACAAATATGGTAAGCTTACGCGTCAGCTTAAAGTTAAAAGGGAGCTAAAAATTTAATAAAATTCAATGATTTAATTTATCATTTTTAATAAAACAATTGTATTGCAGTTCTCTCTTATTGTTCCACTCGCGCTTGTTGGATATGAGATGATTATATCCAACTCGGCGCTACGTGCCTCGTTGGCTATCTATCATCTCATATCCAACGCGCGCTCGTGGAATAATCGTCAACTAGTTTTTCAATTCAAATGTTCATTAATTTGATAACGAGCTTGTATTGCAAGGAGAAATTGCTCACTGATCACTTTTTCAAAGAATCACTAAAGTTTTTTCTGAACTTTCCTTCCTGTATTTTAGGGTCGATTGAAACCACGGTAAGAAAAACCATTTATTTTTCCTTATTCAATTATTCTTTAAGTAAATGTCGATCTCTGCCTAATCAACTTTGTTCACAATTGGTACATTTCAACCGTTCTCTAGGTTATTGGTCCCCCGGGAGAAACAGGAGCTGTCGGCCTTAGGGTTAGTAGTGTTTGATGGATAATTAGTGAAAGATAAATTGTCCAGTACAGCTTTTAAATACCCCAGAATACTTACTCTTTTAGACGGTGCATACACGTTCAAGCCAAACCGGGTACCCCTTCCTCCCTTTTCCCCTTCCCCCACACACAGATACCTTTATTTCTTGCTTGCCATTCTGTTGCGGTGCAGTTGACTGTGAGGTTAGCTGGATGCCTGCCAACCAAATGCTCTTTTTCGCTTGACAATACGAGAGACTCTTGGTTTGCTTGGCCTGCTTGGTCAGATTATTAGTTACGTCTTCTATCTAGCAGTAAACGTGACAAGTAATAAAATAATTCCATAATTAGTAAAGAAGTAAGGATCGGAAAAGGAAAACAGCGAAGCAATAGTAGATAGTAGGCCAAATGGAAAATTGAATGCAAACCGACCACCAGACATAACTAGTAACCACTTTCCAGTGGAGCCTCTGAATAATAATAACTTTTATTTTACACTCGGACGCCCTCCTTAGGGTAACCGCGGAATACCAGGCAGACGTGGAAGAACAGGGCCAGCCGGACTAAAGGTATTGCAGTTCTCTCTTACATCTATAGACTGTTTTCTATCTTTTCTAGACAGGATTTAGGCAAGAGGCGAAATAAAGACACAATGGATTGGTAGGAGATAGAGAGTTTCCGTTGGACGGTACCAGCTTGTTATGTTCGTGTTCAGTGTTCGCCTTAACACTGATTCATATGAGTATTCTCCACAGTGTTCGCTACACCTTATTTACGGTACTGAAAAGGAGAATTTGGCTAACAATCAAGGGATTCTTAAGTTGCTGATCAGTGGCTTTAATCTCAAGGCCTTAACGTTCGATTCAGTATTGATATTATAAAGAGCCATTAGGGTTGAACCTTGGACCCTTTAAAGTAACTGGCAGATAATTTCTCTTCACAACGTCACCCTTAAATCACCCATTAAGGTTACAAGAATAAAGGAAATGACTACATCTGACTACACTACAGTCTCCTGATTGTTAAACAAATTCTCCTTATTAGTGCATTAGCAAATTTATAGAGAACACTGTGGAGAATATGCATACTGATGTTAGGATGTAAAAGGCAAGGCTGTAATGTAGCAGCGCCCGGTGGCCTCTGGCGCCTTACTTTTGCTCTTGGGCGACTCAGGATTTTTAGTTTTTTGCATAGAAAGCATATGCTGGGCACCCTGGATTCTACAGTTTCAGAGGACTGGGCTCCATTCAATTTTCCTTCGAGCGCAGCCTTGAAAAGGGTTAAAGGGTTAACAGACTGTAAAAGACAAGGCTGACCGAGGCAAAGCGCCTTCAGGGGTTAGTTCAACGCAAGCACGGTGATAATGATTTGAAGCAAGTTGAAACTTACGTCTTTGCTTTTTGTGTCATCCATTTGTGGTAGTATATTGTCTGCTTGTTGCTTTATCTACTCGAACCTGCATTAAGTGCTGGGCCAACTATTGTCTCCATGTTGCTTTATTTAGTCGAACCCGCATTAAGAGCTCAGCCACGGGAGTGACGGGGTGACCTCTTAATACAGGTTCCACAGAAGAGAGGTAATCATGATAAACGATAAAGGTAGCCATTTAATGCCCCAACTGAGCTCTTCACCTACAAAAACTCACTCAAAAATACTACCAATATTTATTTTGGGAAAGAAACATGGATGAACTTGTACTTCATTGCTTCGGCTGAAGTGACTGTTAACTACAGATGGAGGAAGGTGTTACGTTGTGGGCATCATGGAAAGCCTTAAAACTCGACGTGATGTTAGACCTTGCTCTGCCAAAAGTTTTACTAACTGGTTTGTTGAATATCCTTAGGGTTTCCCCGGGAGCAAAGGTGCTATGGGCGACTTAGGAGATCCGGGTAATCCAGGGCCTCCCGGCCCCCCAGGATCAACCGCCGGGTTACCGGTAAGTGAGTAAATCAAGTATACAATGTAGCTGGTAATAGCCGATATGTTGCTTCAGAAAAGCTGCTATCCGGTGAACACATACACTGTACTATTCACGCAGGCACTATAAATGTCCTTCATAAAATCAGCTTCGAAAGCTTCAACTTCACCTTATGATAAGACAGCTCTTTCCATTATGATCCTGTCGTACTTTATAACCTTCTATTCGTCATTCACATACTTATTTCACTTGTCAACCGATGTAGTTCAGTATCTTACAAAAATTGAGAAAAATGTTAAATCTGTAAGAAGATGTTTCATTCACCACGAAGAACGTTTGATACTATGCTGCAATATGTTTTAAAGTTTGTTTGCGCTAGAGCGAGTTTAGCCGCGTTACAACGAGGGGCTTGAAACCTGAAGCTCGTCTATTAGTTATTGCGGCTTCGTCACCCCTATTTCAATGAAACGTCTGTACAATCGCCACCTAGGCAGGGTTAACATTATCTAAAAACAGTACTTTTCATGTATGCAGTTTTTTTCTTCTTCTCTCATTTAGAGTGTACCTGGAGAAAAAGGTCCGTTAGTTCTCGTCAATGTGGTACCTGACATTCCCGGCGGACGGGTAAGTTTTCACAAAGTGCTCCGTTGTCAAGGCTGTACTTTGTACATTTTAAACCACCTTATGTATTCGCTCTTGTACATTTACCTCGTTATATCCATAAATCCGAATGTCCATTTACACTCAATCAATTCTCTTCATTCAGATCGGGCAACCAGGAGGCTCTGGAGATGCTGGAGCAAAGGGATATGAAGTAAGGCAATGCCAAGCATACGTTGAAAAATACAATACAACTTACTTGATGATTTCTAATTTGATACGCGCGAATGTTTTAGTGTCTAAGTAGTTCTTTTTCCGAGTTCCACAAGGACGCAGAAAATATTCGAACAATGAGCAAATATCCGCTAGTATTTTATCTTAAACCAGCGTTGATTGGCATAAACTTGTCACTGAAATCATGGCGAAGCAATTGGCATTGAGGTCGCAAATACCTTATTGTATTTTGCCGAGCAATTTACAATATTGGTATAGTACAAGCAAAAAGAAATCATCGTCAAAAGCTTTCCCTGCTCACATTTTGCTATTGGTTTTTTCTTTTTTTTTTTTTTTTTTTTTTTTTTTTTTTTTTTGCTGTCGCTTTTAGTTTTGTTATTGTTGTTTCGGTGTTAGTGATCGTCGTTTTGTTTGTTTGTTTTGGTGACATGTCCAATCTGAGTTCCTACCAACAAGGTGCTGCTGTTGTAAACAGAAAAGTCAGCAGTACACTTAGAAAGTGCGTTTGCGAGGGTGGCGTCTTAATTTCCTTCACTTATTTTTCAGGGATCTTTCGGTTTTCCCGGAATACCAGGAAGTGCCGGAGATGATGGACGTCCGGTATTTTTAAGGCGCAGCCTATCTTTCTTCAACTTGTTTTCAACTCTAAGATTGCAATATGAATTCTCCTTATTGTCTCCTTAACATATTCCCATATGATATTTCTGAGAATTGGGATAAAATAAAGCAATGTATCTTAACTGATTTTATTATCCAACTACACTTGGTAGAGTACAAATGACCCCATCGACGAGTACAAACATCACGCGGTATTTACACTCTAGAGTACCGGTTCAACAAATTTCTCCCATCGCGCAAGCGAATAATTGGATTGTAGTTTCGAAAAAAAGAAAGGCGGACAATTTGAATAATATTTCCGACGACGAAGAGTCAGAATGGCTGGCAAATATAGATCCAAGTTTATTAGATGAATTGAACGAAGAAAAACAGCTAGACGACCAGGAAATTTCTTCATTTATTAAACAAAATTGAAACAGCAACGCGACAACGCGCCAATTCTGTTCCGCTTCGCATAATTCTGTCACGCACTCCCCGTAAATAAATATCCGCGAAATTCGCCCGCACTGAAATAACAGTTTGGCGTGCCTGATAATAAACAACTTATTGGGCGTTTTGTTGTGTAGTATCGCTTTTATTTGAATTTTGACTCGCCCTACGGGCTCTTCCAAAATACGGCACAACTCGTAAAAATACTCAGCGATACTACACAACAAAACGCCCAATAAGATATATTTACTCTTTATTCTCGTTTACTGCCTCCTTATATTCGTTTTCAATCCAACTGCAGTCTACCTATTTTATACGTTTCCTAAGGTTCTGACCAGGAGAATTGGCTTAATAATCAAGAGCTCCGTGACACCTCGATTATTTCTTTTATTCTCATGACTTTAATGCTTGATTTAGGTGTGACACTATTGAGAGGAATTGGGCAATTATTACTCTACCCTCTTAGGAGTTAACAAGATATAGAGGAAGAAAGGGACGGGACTTTATACATGTAGGTTAAAACCATGAGCCATAAGAACTTTTTTCTTTTGTTCTTTTACAGGGATTTCAAGGTTCCGTTGGTCTTCCTGGTGAGCCTGGCCCAGATGGTCCAGTTGTAAGTGATGTGGATTAGTAGTCAACCTTTATTTATTTATTAATTTTTTTTCGCACGGATAGACGACCTCGACTGACCCAATTATAGATCAAATTATGAGCTCTAGATTTCTATCTCGTGTTAACATACGACGGCGAAGTATATAAGGAACCTATTAGCACTGCTAAAGCAAAAATTTTTTATTCTTTTTCAAGGGACCTGCAGGTGCAAAAGGTAGACCTGGACCTGAAGGATATGGGGGACAAACGGTGAGTACAATTTTGAATTGTTTCCATGTAAGTGACAAGAAACAGGAATTCCTTAATAAAGGGGGTACGTTGAAAAGAAACTGCGGTGCTGCGTCGGTGGGGGTAGCAAGGTAATTCAGTTTTATCAACTAAACTGATGTTAATTGGCCACCGTAAAGAGTTTAAAAGCTGAGGTTTCGAGCGTTAGCCCTTCGTCAGAGCGAATGAAGGAATTGTGGGAGGTGATCATTCTAAGCAGCATATGGCAGTCTGCGGCCTTTCTTTTACATTTAGTAGCTCGGAAAGCCGCAAAACTCTTGAACAAAAGTTTATCTTTCAAATCGGCACTCTTAATCCCATAGGTATGAGCAAACGTTGTTCATTCTACTCATTTTTTCTTGTTTTTCTCGTCATCATGTTCCTACCAATAGCGGAACTCCCCTTTCTGCATATAAACACTCTTCCATTTGCTCTGACGAAGGGCTAACGCTCGAAACAACAGCTTTTAAACTCTCTAAGGTGGCCAATTTACATTGTTAACTAAGTCTATGAAACTGAATTCTTTAATAGTTCATTTTACACTTGAATGCTTGGTTGTCAAGCTTGTGAACAAGAGTGAGGCTAAGGGTGACCTTGTCATGATACAAAGGTTGCTGCTTTTCAAATGTAAATTACTTTGTTATCATGCTGACTAGATACAGGTCTCTATCACAACAAGGCCACCTTTAGTCTCGCTCCAAATCAAAGGCTTGGCAACTAAGTACACAACTGTAAAATGTGCTATTAGTCTGGTGTAATCGGTGGTGAGCTATTAAATATAATTCCACTTTTGTATTGTTGTTGTTGAGTGGAGTAGAGAGAGTAGAGTAGACTTTATTGGAGAGGGTGACATTTGACAGTAACTAAACTGATAACCTAATGGCCCTCGAAGTAAATACAAGAGAAAATTAATCAAAAACTGACCTACAATCTAGCAAACATAATTTATATAAAAAGGATATAAAAACTACTAGATATTGATAAAAGACTGGGTAATAAATTGATTTTTAAAACTTGATTTATAGAGTGATCCTTTAAAATGTTTTCCGCTTGGCTACGTTTAAGATCTACATTTACCTTGTTCCATTCTTGGATTGCTCTTACGGTGAACCTCCGGCCACCTTCCGTACATCTCTTGTAGCGAGGACAACTCAAATTTAGATTACAGAATCTGGTTTGTTGGTTGAAAAAGCAAGGGTGGGGAGGGTGGGGAACTCGATAGAGAAAAAAAGCTTATTATTGTTTTCAGAGTGTTTACGGTAATTTACATGAAAATCTTTGGCAGGGACCAATGGGTGATCCTGGACCATTAGGTAGTCCTGGACCTGTTGGTTCTAAAGGTCGAGAAGGAAGAATTGGGATTGTTGGACAGCAAGGACAGGATGGTGAAGTGGTAAGTGAAATTTGTCATCAAAATACTGGGATGGATACAATGTTAGATATATAGTTAATGTTTATCTTAGTCGTGGGATAAAGGAAATATTTGATTGATTTGTCCTACGTGTGGACAAAGAAAAAAACTCTTCACTTTCCGACCTAAAGAGGACCTGAATCTCACACCTTAGGATTACACGGTCCGACAACTTAATTGATGAGCTTAGTTATATGCTTTACGTAATGTTGAAACTGATCATAAGCCTTATTACTGTAGGGTCTAACGGGTGACGTTGGCAAGCCAGGACCTGATGGATCAGTGGTAAGTTCGAATGAGTTTCTCACGATCATGTCCGAAGACGCCCGAAGACCTCCGACCTCCGAGATCGTTTAGAAAGCCCTCCCAAGTCGATCATAGAAAAAACTACCTTTTATTAGTTTTACATATATAGTTTTGGTAGTCGAGGCGCAAATCTTTTTGTCATGCATAAGAAATGGAGATAGAGTAAGATCGAACTCTATGAGGAAAGCATGAGAATTGCTGCTAGTGTGTGAGCGTTGGCAGCTTTACAAATATACTTTGAGGTACTTGAATACGCAAGTTAATCTTGCAGTCGCGTTTTTAAGAGATGTGAATCTGCAGGAGCGCAGTGACCAAACACGAACAAAACACTTTTGTGCCTGTCAAAGTCCTAAGATCACATTCTATAGATTTAATTTATTTTCAAAGAAAAAGTAATGATGTATCAGAATCTTCATATGTTAAGGTGAAGATAGCTCGTAGTTCCCTCGTCATTCCTCGTAAACTATTCATAAACTCCTCGAAAACTATTGCAGTCCCTTCTGCAATGCATCTCCTCGCGCACGACGTCCTTTTCCATGCGCACTCCACGAATAATGCACACTATGCCCATGACCTGAATGGGTAAGCCTTAGTTACTAATTATAAGTTTTTTATGTCTGTTTATTTAGGGTCTGAATGGATTAGGCGGAGTGAGCGGACGAGCCGGTTACCCTGGCCCTTCAGTAAGAATGTTATTACTTCTTCCTTTTATGTAATTTTTTTCAGGTCAAAATTAATACCGGATTGTATTGATTTTGGTTTACTTCACTCTGTGATTGGTATGATAAATTTGTCGCCAGCTCATCAACCAATTAGCTGCAGAAGTGAAATCAATTAATCGCGTATTCCCATGCCTAGGAAAGTTTGCTTGTTTTTGATTTAAGTTCCCATCGGCTGCTTATATGTTTCTTCACTGTGATTGGCTATGGAGATTTATTTGGTTTTGGATTTTCGACACTCAATTGGAAAGTTCTCTTTCTTTGTCAAGCGGTAAACACATATTTTTATATCGATTGTTTGAAAATGCTGGTAAATACCGCAAGGTTGACTTACCCGCATGAATTAAAATTGATGTGACACCATTTGTGAATATGACTGGCTATCAGCAAGCTATTAAAGCAAAGTGCACCATCAAACGAGTTATGAGTTCATAGTCTCGAATATTTCGTTAAACTTGCATCCAATCATCATCATGGTTATATATTTGTTTATTCAATTACTAATGTTTGTTATTAGTTTATATTTTTTATTTATCTATCCATCTACCTATTTATTCATCCCCTTATTTGTGTATTTATTAATTTTTTTTTAGGGTCTTGAGGGAAAGGAGGGTCCAACTGGTTCACCTGGAGCTCCGGTATCTTATCATTTGTTATCGTAGTGATGAAGTTGGTGTACTCGCCGGTTGTAAACATTAGATTCTTCTGAATTGTAGCAAATAACGAGACCAGGGTAACCGCCTTTCGTTGGAAACTTACGATATTTAGAATTGAAACTCGTACAGGCTTTCAAATTAAAGTATATTCGAATAAAAAAAAAAAACCAAGACAACTGTGATTTTATGTGGGGAAAGGATTTACGGGTGTTTTACAGAGGAAGGTGAGGGAAAAAAGCGGGGATTATCGCTAGTTCAAGATAAAAGGTGTAATAAAGAGGGGAAAATAAGATTCATATTTTTTCTAAAACGTGAAGGTTTCTTTGAGGATAATTGGGGCATTAAATTGTTTACGAGTAAGGGACTTAACTATTATTTTCAAACATACCAGGGCATTAAAGGAAGCCCCGGCAGCCCAGGTGCGCCTGGTAAACCTGGAATCAAAGGAAGCCCAGGACAGGGAGGTGACACAGGCATGATGGGGGATACCGGACCCACAGGTGAAAGTGGGTCTGATGGAGTCCCAGGAACTGACGGAGCTCCGGGTCTCCGCGGAATGGCTGGTAAACAAGGGGAATCAGGAGGCCCGGTAAGCGTTTTATTGAAAAACAAGGTCCCGTTTGGCATGAATCAGATTCAATTCACTGTAAACCTCCGCTTTTTGAAGGAACCCTAGAGTTTTCGACATAATCTTCCATTGTTGTGATTTAACGAATGGTAAACACCACAGCGTACACTATTGTGTTATGGATGCACGCGGGAGGTTGCTCAGCACGAAAGAAGCGTAAGAGTCGCTCGAGGCGATAGCCTCGAGCGACTCTAGCTTCTTGAGTGCTTAGCAAACCTCCCAAGTGCATCCATAACTCAATAGTGTACGCTGTGGTGTTTATCATTTGTTTTATAACATAACATTGATACATTGTAGCTAAAGAGTTCCCTTTTATTTAACAAATCTTACGCGACCAGAAAAAACAAGCGCGCGCGGAAAAATAGTCTTTGCATTTGCTCACGTCAGCAGCGTACACCCATGGGCAAATGGGGGACGCTAAATTGACCAATCAGAGCGCGCGCTTTACTTTGGTTGTGTTATAATTTCTGTTAGTTTGTTTGTAGTTTTGGCTTTATTGAGTGTTAGTGTTGCGATGCTTTCAGGGCGAAGCTGGGCCTGCAGGACCTGCTGGAGGAGACGGACGTGCAGGAGAAATTGTGAGTACAAGTGAATTAACGTTCAACGAACACTGTTCGCCTTTTAACCCGTTACACCCTTACAGTAGTGTACATATTCTCCATACTGTTCTCTATGCATATCCTAAGGTGCTGACATAGAGAATTTGTTTAACAATCAAGAGATTCTTTAGTTGTTGATCATTTCCTTAATTCTCCTGACCTTAATGTGTGATTCAGGGGTAATATTGTAAGGAGAAATTAGATGCTAGTCACTCTTAGGGGGTCGAAGGGTTGTCATGGAAACCAGAGGAATCGTCTCTTACATTGAATCGATAGAACCTTGTCCCTATATGTGGCCGTGTCTAATGTCAACATCTGTCAGTGTGCGCAGTCTTTCAATCACATTTGCTTCTTTTGCACTTGTTTAACCACATGTCCTGTTGATTTCCAGGGTGTACCCGGAGATCTTGGACCAACTGGCGGCAAAGGTGAAAAGGTACGGTTAGGTAGATTTTATTATTTGAACCAAACACAAGAGGGAAGCAATCCCTTCATGTAAGCTTTTTATCAGGGATTGCTGGTGATGGTAATTGTTATGTTTTTATCAGTCAGATTGTGTTTCTTGAGTAATGTGCCAGCTATTTACATTTTTCATGCGCATACTTGATCAAAAGACAAAAGATAGTATTTATTCAATTTGGACATGTTTCTTTACAGGGCGAGATCGGAAGACCAGGGAGCACGGGATTCACTGGTGATAAAGGACCTGGGGTAGGAACAGTTTGTAATGCCGCTTGAGAACGTTTCCTTTTACAAAGGGTTCATACTCTACTACTTTTGATAGACAAAGCTATCTTTTGCGAGAGCCACTTTGGGCCAAGATAAATTGAGCAAAAGAACTATAATTTAACCCTTGACCCCTTATCTCGTCTGCTTGAACGACGCCTTATTTTCCTGTCACAATTTTATGAGCCGACATAAAACCAAGCCTCGGCACGACCAGTGTAACGTTAGAAGTCGGCTACGTTAGAAGTCGGCTACGTTAGCAGTCGGCTACGTTAGCAGTCGACTACTTTTAGATTTTTGAATGCAGGAGGAATGCAGGACCCTACTATAATAGACCACTGGGGCGTGGTGAAAATCGATGTTAAGATATTCCAGCTTTTACGTCAAAGAACATGACTATGGCCGCTAGTTTCTCGGGTAAAATTGACCTCTTACTGCCCTAGAGATTCTACTTTCGAGAATAGGGATAACGGGTCCTTACTGTAAGAAAACTGAAGGGAGTTGGGGAAAATCGATAACATCGAATCCATAACAAAGAAAATTCACGTTTGCCAATTGCTTCTCGAGTGAAATTGTCCTCTGACCGCCTTAGGAATTGGGATAACGCGACAGAGCTGTAATAAAACAATAGGGACATGCTGGAACGGTGTTAAACACATGGTGTTTATAAAGAGGAAAATGCATGTTAGTCAATTCCTCCTCAAACAAAGTTATCCTTTTGACGCTTTAGGGTCTTGCTGGACCAAATGGTGCGCGAGGATTTCTAGGTTCGGCTGGTAAACAGGTACGATATCGATGGCTTTACTACTTATGACTTCTGCTCAGGATTTTGATGCGTTACTAGCAGTTATTGACAGCATCACATTCTTGGACTACCTTAATCAGATGATCAGAATACTCGACCAGCTTTTTCCCAGGCTTCAAATAATTTAATTTTACGATTTCACATAGTAGTGACGTAATTTTTCTGTAGGAACTTCGGGCTTCAGATGCAATAGGAATTCACTCAGTAACTCAAACAAATCCTACTCATGAAAGGGTCAAATAAAACCACTCAACTTTTGCATTTCAGTATCTATTGATGAATGTTCAGTAACAACCTTTTGGCGCAAACACATGCTCAGATGTGATTTTTTTACCGCGATTTTTGTTTCTAGAAGCGCACAGATTTTTGAGGGACAACTCGGGGAAAATATAGAATGTCGAGGGTCAGATTAGATCTAATGACAATTATACGAGCCTATTTTTTTAAGTCAGTTGTAAGGTAGTCTGTTTACAGAATATAACTTTGCTGCGTTGGAAGTCTTTAGACCAATCACACGTGTGCTATATGATGTATTATTATATGGCTGTGTCTCACAAGATAATTTGGATATATCAACAAAGTTGAAATGGTAAATTGGCCACCGTAACGATTACAAAAGCTGACGTTTCGAGCGTTAGCCCTTCGTCGGACGAATACAAAAAATTGGCATATAAGACACAGCCATACAATAAACATCTTATTAACCGAGCTAGGTCGGTCTGTCTGGAAGAATCTTGACCTCGGTCGCTGGTACAGATCTCACTGCGTTCGGTCTGTACTGGCGACCTCGGTCAAGATTCTCCCATACAGACATTCCCGCTCGGTTAACAAGAACTAATTATCATTCGAAGTATACAAGTAAAAGCATGTCTTTTGCCTTTTTTTTATTGGTCTTTCTTAATTATCTTTTTCTCTGATAGGGTGGCCCTGGCGGACCGGGCAGTCCTGGAAGAAATGGCGAGACTGGACAAAGGGTGGGTTGATTTACTTCAAAACAGAATTTTGATGTTTTCTTTCGCTGTAGTGAGCTTCCAGGGAATTGAATAGATTACATACAGACAGCAAATTCATGTCAAAATTATTGACGCGGACTTATTGCGCTGACGTGTGTTAACATCTGACTCAGACCAATCTGTACGCTTTGGTGTTTTCTTGTAGGGAGCGCGGGGTAGTCAAGGAAACCCAGGTGTTATGGGTGCAGTGGGAATAACGGTAAGGATATTTTTCGAACCATTTCAAATATTCCGCAGAAGTTACATAAGATGTTAATACCATTGTTCTCCTTCCCCTCTGCGCCTTTCTTTTTACTCCATCTCATCTTCCTTTTCCTTCTTTTCCCCCTTAGTCTTCCTGTCCTCCTCCTTCTACACCTTTTTTTTCTTCCTCTCCCTCCTCCTCTTCCCCCTTCTCATCCTTCTTTAAATTCCCTCTTCTTTTTCTCCTTCTTCCCCTTTTACCTCCTCCTTCCCATTCCATTACTTCCGCTCTTTCCTCTCACTCCCTCCTTCTTCTACTTTGTTACCTACTCTGCGTCTTCCTCTTCTTCCTACTGTTCGTGTCTTAACTCATTCTCCCAATCATCGTCCTACTTTCCTCCCCCCCTTCCTCCTTCCTTTCTCCACCCACTACTCCCCATTTCTTTCCTCCCCTACCTCCTCTCCCGTTTTCTGATTTCCCCCCTTTAAGTAATTTCCCCATTTCGCATAAAAATCACATTCTGTACTTTCTTTTCTTATTCTTCTTCTTCTCTCCATTCTCTCTGCCTCTTCTCTCTCCAATCCCTTCCTTCTTCCATTAAAGCCAACCATCAGTGATAACCTCGTCATTGTCGACGCCCATATAGCTCCTCTGCCTTTAAATTGATGATAATTTTTTTTGAGCGCTTGAAAGAAATCTAGCTTTCGAGAGTGGTGAAAATAACCCGTTTCAATCCCAGATTGAATACTCGTTTGAATCATTGCATATCGTAGGGAAGGGCTGGAAGCCGTGGGGGCCGAGGATCCAGAGGTGTTAAGGGAGACGCGGTAAGAAATTGAATAGCCACCTAATTTATCGCTTGTTATTGGACGGTTGTTCAAGGTTGTCACGTGGTGTTTCTACTTGAGCCACAAGTGTATCGCTATGATTTCATTTTTTCTCCATTGCGTTTATTCGTTTCTATACATATTTCTGTATTTTTGTTCGTTTAGGGTGTTCCAGGCCGACCAGGCCCACCAGGAATAACTGGATCAAGGGTGAGACTCAACTAACAGTTAACCCGAGAATACACGTACGAAGTCGGATATTCCAAAGAAACGCTGTGAAAATGATTATACCTTAAAATAACAACGATGTCGGAAACAGCGGAAACTTTGTTCGAATTTTCGCATCACGGCTGAGAATTTGAAACTGAACTGCATTTGAAAACGGGTCTGAGCTCTCATAGACCCTTAATTTATAGGGGACTTTTATTTTAACCGCTTCCCGGTTAGCTCAGTTGGTTAGAGCGCCGAATTGAATTGTGGGGGAGGTCAAGGGTTCGAGCCCCGGCCGGACCGATACTCATGGTCTTAAAATAAGTGAGGAGAATTTGCTACCTTTCTATAATCAAGAAATGGATAGATATTCTAGTCTTCTCGGATAAGGACGAATAAACCGTAGGCCCCGTCTCCTGCAGGGTTAGGGGTAGGAGACGTTAATTTCCCACGCACGAGATTACTGTGTCGCGGATATCCTCCCCTGGGGTGGGATGGGTGGAAATTGGCCCTGAAAAGCCCCCATGGGGAGTGGTCAACTAACGTATACATGTATGTATGTATGTATGTACGTATTTTGACAAGAAGTCCTAACGTTTTTTACCGAAGACAACATTACTTCTTTCTGGTTATTAGCTCACGTGAGATTTTTAATTTGTCAGGGTCCTGACGGCAGACCAGGATCTAGTGGTGGTGCAGGGGCGCCAGGAAGTTCGGTATGTTTTTTCGTATGTAAAGTTCAGAGTGCCCAGGGAGGGTGGTTTTTTTATTACATATTTACAGTGCATTTGGCAAATGTAATATCACCAAGTACCGTTCTTTGGTTGGCTTTTTTTTTTAATTATCCTTTTAATCATGTACTTATTTATTTGATTTTTTTTATAGGGTGCTAAAGGCGATGATGGTTTTCCAGGAGAGAACGGTGCACCGGTAGTGCAAAAAAATTAATGATCGAATTGTTGGAATGTTATCAGACTTAAATGTTGCGTTAACATATTTATATGTTTTCTTTCTCAGGGTTTTCCTGGATTATCTGGTGGGGTTGGACCTGTTGGTATGAAAGGAGCTGAGGTAACAAAATCTCCTCGATGAGAAAGGACAACAATCCTTAAAACCTTTTAGTCTATTCTGACATTCATCAATTTTCTACTGCAACTGTGAATAATCCATCTTTGTAGTATGACTTATGTTCGACGAAATATGAGTGGCTTGTCACTTTTAATAAGGTGGTGAGGTTGTGTTGTATTGATTGTCTTAATAATCTCCGAGTTAAGGATTCATGTTCCTTGTTCCTATTTTTTTGCTTTTTACCAAAGGGACCTGTTGGAAATAATGGAGGTCAAGGGGAACGAGGATCCACCGGACCAAAGGTAAAGCGAAAAAAGTTCAGCGAAGTTATTGGTACTAAAAATAGTTAAGCGAAGTTACTGGTTAGCTCAATTGATAGAGCGCCGGACTGTTGTGCGGGAAGTCGTGAGTTCAAATCCGGCCGGACCAACACTCAGGGTCTTTAATTTATTGAGAAAAAAGTGCTGCCTTTCTAATAATATCTTCAAATGGTTAGACTTTCTAGTCTTCTCGGATAGAGACGATAAATGGAGGTCCCGTCTCCTGCAGGGTTAGGGGTAGGAGACGTTAGTTTCCCACACACGAGATTACTGTGTGATGAATGTCCTCCCCGGGGTGGAATGGGTGGGTAAAAAAGGGGGTTAGGTGTCAATTGGAACGAAAGTTCTGTTCCTCTCTCCTCCCATTCCTGTGGAGAATGAATTAAACTAAAACTAATCGCTAATCGCACTGGGCTAAGATCGTAAGGTGTCATCGTAATTGTCATTATCAGCGTCGACATAATCATCTTCTACTGTTGTCAAGGTTATTTTAAAGTTTCCACTTAATATCGTGTTGTTTATCATGGAGCATGCTCTGTTAAGCTGGCTAAGGTTACGTTTAGGATGCAGGTTAAGAGTCTGCATCGTCTGTTTGCCTTCATGTGAGGATCGGTGTCATACCTAACCTGGCTCATTATTATTATTATTATTATTATTATTATTATTATTATTATTATTATTTTGTTTGCCTTCATGTGAGGATCGGTGTCATACCTAACCTGGCTCATTATTTTTACGAGTTGAAAAGTTGTCTAGTACACAAGCGTTCTGGATGATATCCATGTGAACAGCTGATTGTGTTGCCAGGGAAGCTGACTCCGATTCATCATTAATACATTTTAACTTTGTTTTTTATTTCTTTCTTTTTCTATGATTTATCTAGGGCGAATCAGGGTCTCCGGGAGGTCAAGGTGTGGCAGGGGGACCAGGTACCATGGTAAGAGAAAAAAAGGAAAAAAAAATAAAAAATGACGTTTCTATGACCGCAAACGATTGATACTGAGCCACTCGATCAATTACTCAATGATTGTGTCGGTTGTTTGTCCCCCATAGGGTATCCAAGGCCCCGCAGGGTCCCAAGGATCAACTGGGGAAGTTGGGGATGTGGTAAGATTCTTAAAATTTTGTATCTCAGTTAACATATGCATGGATTTTTCTTTATCAGAATGAAATCTCTTCACCCCTAGGGAGCTTCTGGTCCTGCCGGTGATACGGGCTCAGCCGGATTCAGTGGCCGCCAGGTGAGGCAATAGATTAGCGGTACATGCGATTTGATGTGAGATTCTCACTCAAAAAAAAAGAATTTTATTCCAAAAGACTTCACAGTTCTTTCAATTAAACAACACCATAAACCCGTTGCCTGGGAGTATCTGGATTGAGTAGACTAGTGTTTAAGGAAAGAATACCACAGAAATACGTGAGAGCAGATACATCAGGATAGCATTTGCGTTTTTACTAACACCTTTCAATGAAAAGATTTCTTTGACACCTTTCAGGGACCCAAGGGAAGTTCAGGTTCCAATGGAGTTTCTGGCAAAAGAGTGAGTACTTTATAAAAAATCAGATTTGAAACAAGTTTCTTTGTATAGCCAGTTCTCCAAAAAATGGCATTTCATCTTTTCCATGTAAATTTTTTTCTTATTCTTTGCTTACATAAACAGGTTCGGTAGCTAATTTTTTTTTTGATCCACTTTTCATTTTTACTATGTCAACGTTATTTTGGTATGATTCAGATGTAATCAAAGAATCCAACAATAAGTTTTGTCTCATTGATTGTTACTGTACTAGCAAAAGCACAAGACGGTGTTATTTGTCTCTATGTAGGGAAGAGCTGGTGAGCCTGGCCTTAACGGAGTAAATGGTGATTCGGTAGGTTTTCAAATTTTCTTCGAATAAGAACAAAAATTCAGACCTCCCGTTTTCCAAAGGCTGGATAGCGTTATCCGCTGGATAAATTTCTATCCGGTGAATAGCGCAGTTCGATTTGTCAAAACCTATTCGTTTTCAATAATTTTCACACAGGTTCATTGTAATCGTATTTTGGGCCGGTACATATGGCGTTCACATAAATTCCCTTGAGTTTTTGTATCAAAATTGGTTTTTCGTCAAAACCTTCAAAATCCTTAATAAAAATACCCCGCCTAGTATTGCAAAAAAAAAAAAACCCGATTTCCAATGAATGTTTTAAATGTTAAACAACCTGACAGAAAACACGTACCGGAACGCTATTTTGTTTACTCAATACAGGGCTTGCAAGGATTAGCTGGACTTCCGGGAGACCAAGGAGGAATGGGAGAAGCTGTATGTAACGCGTTCATAGATTAACTCTTGCAATCCTAAGATGTGGTTTCATTTTGCTTTTGGTTTACCATAATTTTCAGATGAGTTGTTTCTGTAAATCTTAAGTCAAAGTAATCAATAAATTTTATTTGCTGTTTTTTTTATTCCCTTCACCTCTTTGCTGGACAGTGTCATAATCTTATAAAGGAAAATAACTCGTTCGGTTGTTCACCTCTACGAAAGACAGGGTTAATTCCTAAATCTGTCATTGTTGCACTGCAATTGTCTATCATTTCACGAAGAAGCACGACAGACCTAACAACACACCGCAGTGTAAAAAAAATCTTGATTTAGATTTTTTATGATACAAAAGTTAACTTCTCTATTGTATTTGATTACGCTCTGAATATTTAGCGCCTGCGTTAGAAGCAAATTGTCATCATCAGCGTCATCATCATTATGATGATTATTATTATTATTATTATTATTATTCATTGTTGTTACTTCATTGTTTTCAAATGATATTGTAAAACTTCCAGGGGTCCATGGGACCTGTGGGTGAAGCTGGTTTAGATGGATCTCGTGGAATGACTGTAAGTATATTCAGTTTTAGAATATCTGCGATTCTTCGAATTATCTTGAGTGATTTTATTTTTTTTTATTTACTTACTTGAAATCACTGATAATCCTTAAATCAGGTTGGTTTGAGGCAGTGTGATTTACATACGGGTCACACTGTAATTTGATTTAAATGGCGTCTCTTCACAGCGGAACAAAATAATTGATCAGATTTCAGGTGTGCAATTTATCAGCGGAACTCCGTATTCTTAATTCATTTATATATTACATTTTTTTACCTCTGAATCAATACAATATTATAAGAAACCAAATGTATTCAGGCAATGAAATTGAGCCATTGTGAAATAGATGCTGCCCAGCGGTTATTGAACTCGGAGTCCATGGATTTTTTTGTGTGATATCATATTTATGATTTCAGACCAAATGGCCTCTCAGCTCAATTTCCATTATTTATTTGCCTCCGGTTTGGACCGTTCAAGCTTGTTGCTATGAAGATTTTAATAAAGTTTCCCTCATTCGTCTCTCTAGGGTGGTCCTGGACCGAGTGGTCGTGTTGGAGCAGCGGGTAGAAAAGGGGAAGCGGTATGCGTCGTTTTTAATACTTGTGAAATTACTTTTGATCAGATTAAAAAAAAAATTATTTTTCGTAGAATTTGTGATATTCGAGTGTTTGTTTTAAAAAAGGGCGATGCTGGACCAACCGGAAGAGGCGGAAGACCCGGACCGATGGGACAACAGGTGAAGTCTCCGAAACAGTACAAGATACAGTTTTAGTCCCCTTCCATTCACTTAGTCATTTCCATTGAGACGACTTTTATTCCTTAATAATGGGCCTAAAGTAACCTGACCTGTGTTGCTATGTTGTGTCTATGGTTGCAATGAATTTTCCAATTTTTATATGAACAAGATCCTTACACTAAGGTCTTTAAGGGGGATCCTATTTGGTAGTGCCACCTAACTAGTACATCAGGTTCTGAATTCAGGTGTTGGTCGCTATTAACTTGTTTTTAAGTGTTAACTTGTTTAAGTGTTTAACTTGTTTGTTATTAACTTGTTTTTAGTGTTTCATGACATAAGATATGTTTAAGGGGAAGAGTGATATCAGATGCTGAACTGTCTCTCTCTGATGTAACAGGGCGTCGAAGGTGTGCCTGGCGAAGTGGGAGAAACTGGAACTCGAGGACTTACCGTGAGTTCATTGACTGAGAAAAACACTCAGCATCATAATAATAGAATACTTTTCTTTCATAATATTTCGATCTGCTCGTTTAAATGTTAACTCCAAATCTGTCATTATTAGAGCACATCCGTGTTCTGTGTGGAGAATGGATTTGGAGCATGGAAAATTCTCACTGGTATGAAAGAAATTCTGAAAAACGAGAACGTTTCTATCGATCAGTACAATGATCCGAACGTTGAATAAATGATCGAGGGACATTTCGTTTTCGTTAGCTCGAGCTTTTCTCGTTTTTACATTGATCCTCGTGAGAGACTTTCCGGGTCTTTTGCAATCAGATCCGTCTATATAAGGCACGCCGAAAATAGCAACTAATGAGATGGGCCAATTAGAAAGAGCATAGTTACTTTCTTAGAACGTACCAACGTACACACGCCGGGCCATCTTAATGCCAATCAAAACGCGTCTCAAAGACAAGCAGAATCTTACGTATCTGACGAAGTATATACTACCCCATATTAACTGTTGTGTATGTGTTTTAGGGTGTCTCTGGTGAGCGTGGTTTAGCTGGTATTCCGGGACAAAGTGGAGCAAATGTATGACGTCCTCAGTCTTTACGATCTTTTTCATTTATCAATGATGCACAAGAAGGCTTTCACACTACTATTATGAGCGTTACATACTGATATACTTGAACATTCGTTTAAGGTAGAAAGGATTTATTAACAAATTGCTGTGCGCAACTAGCTTTGCCAAATGTGGCAAAAGGGACGTCCCAGTAGCAGTGTGACCCAGTCCCTCCACCATAACTGCACTTTATGTTGATGTTTGCTGCCTCCATTGGCTATTGAAATTTTAGAATGTTATTTGACCTCGCCGGTTAACACATTACGCCTGTCACCAGGTTTTCTTTTTTGACTTCATGTGTATATCATAATATTTGTCTTGCCGCAAGCGTTGACTGTATATTTTGTCTCCTTGAACTTTTCAAGGGTCCACGAGGAGACCTGGGAGCCATTGGAACGCCTGGCTTTGAAGGGAAAATGGCAAGTGAAAAATTAAACCTGAAACTTTACATCTATAAAACACGATATTTAAGCTGAAGTTTGTACTCCACTGAAAGAGACCTCGATGAATATCCACCCTTATTTACTACAATGACCTAAGACGTTAAAATGACCGCAATGTATTTTCATTTCAGGGTATGATTGGTTCCATTGGAGATCAAGGGCCAACCGGTTTAAAGGGCTCCACGGTAAGTTACCTCCAGAAGCAATCTTTTGAGTTAGTATAAGCAACACGATACTGCTTCTCTGAAAATTCCGGGAGTGTGATGGTAGGGGGAAAAAAGTCAACTATTGTTTACTTTTGTGTCCATTTCTCTGTAGGGTCAAGAGGGAGCCGCTGGATTGCCCGGGATCAGTGGAGACACAGGTTCTCAGGTAATAATACTGACATGGCTCGAGACCGTTGGAGATTATGATGAAGTTTTTTGTACGACAGGAAAACAGTTCACTAATAAGTCGTACATTGCCTCTTGAATATTCTCTCAAAGCTATCGCTAAGAATTGTTGTAAAAAAAGATCCTTCATTTTTTCCTTGACAATTTACCAGTCCAAAAATGGCACGCTAAGATGAGTTTTACCCACTCTACTGACGTACGAACAGACGGACTTAGGGAATTTGTCAAGGAACTTTGTAAAGGTTACTGGAAACTTTTTTAATTCTCCTTGCCAAGTTTATCTTTTTATTATATACTGCGAACAATCTCAATTGTCGTTGACGAACGACAATTGACTCGGCTGGTTCGATATTTGTATATTTTAATCACTTTATTCGCTCGCGATACTCCAAAACTCAACTCGACTCGCTGTTGAAAAACACTCGCCGCTGGCCCATAGCAACGAACCGACCTGTCAATTCACATAGTAACGCAAAAAATAAATAGATAAATAAATGTACAGGAAGCGGGAGGGACATCAATTGATCATCTACCGGTATAACTGTGTCTTCACTCTATGATTAGGGAGCGCAAGGAGTGATCGGTCAAAAGGGATATCGTGGAGAACAAGGCGACAGTGTAAGTAGGCATATATCGCACTAATATTTTGAAATTTATGTGCTTTTTACTTCATAAGCTGTACAGAAATGACAGGTTTTATTCTCGATGTTCACGCTCTGAGCCAAGGGTAATTTCATAAACAAGGCATCACACTGAATTTTATCTAGAGCATAAGTCTTCTTAAACGAACGATTATTTAAACTCAAACCATTTAGTTGAGTGCATTTAAGGATCTTAAGGTCAACACTAACTCTTGTTATTACAGGGAGGACCAGGGGGACCCGGGGCAATGGGAATGATGGGAGAATCTGGACCATCGGTAAGTTTAGTGACTTGAGATTTCCGGATCAGATATAACTAGAACGCAAGGTGATTTATTTTATTTTCACGCATCTGCTCTCACCGTAGGGAGGACCGGGTGATCAAGGAGGTACTGGAAAAACTGGTCGCAATGGAAATAAGGTATTGTCACGGCTTGGGAAATTTTGATTTTTCTAGGTGATAAAAAGTCGGAGACTCCCCGTACTTTTGCACGGGCTATGTAAAGTCAAAGGACTGTTTCTTTCAGTGTCTATAAATTGTTCAGAGCCACCTTAATTTTTTTCTTATTCGAATCACGTGTTTTTAGGGTGCTGTTGGCGATCCTGGTCCCCCAGGGAACAACGGAGGCAGGGGCTCACCGGTGAGAACTTAATTTTTTTCGTATTACAGGTGTCTTGCATAAGTGTCTCCTTGTCTGTAGCATGGGAGTTTTAAATGAACACCAAGGCTACAGAAGGGGGTGGGGGAGATCTGCCATCTATATTGAGAAACCTAAATTTATTGATAGTGTGAACTTAAAGCTGGCCCACTGGTCCTGGATGGTTTTCCTTTTTCGGTGTTACTTGTACAATGTGGGCAGTTTCGATGTTAAAAAATATTTCCACAAGTTCCAAGAAAATTTTCCATAAACGTCACACAAGGACTGGACAAGGGTTTACGCATGACTGTCACCAACAATTTTGGTATTCCTAATGAAGTTCTGGCTTATATGAAAATTAATTTTTACCTTGCATTAAGAGAAACTTTATGAGATTTTTCTAATTTGTTGTACAGGGAGCCCAGGGTCAGGTTGGACCTCCTGGACCACCCGGAACTGCTGGGTCAAATGTAAGTGAAAGATAATTTGAAAGGCTCTCTCTCTCTCTCTCTCTCTCGATTTCATTTCCTGTAAGTGATGGTTTTGTTGTTGAATTAAAATGCTTATTTTCACTCATTCAAATTTTGAATTTCTTTCTCCTTTTAAAGTAGCCTCGTAAGACAGTGCCTTAACAAAATTTCCCAGTCGGTTAGGTGGCTAGGTGGAAGATCGCACACATAAACGAAAAAAATTGTTTTTTATTTCTCAACGACCGTGGGGCATTAAAAAATTACGTGAAAGGAGATTGGATCTAGACGTGCCAATCTACGTTGGGATGGAGCACCCTTAAATCATTGGTGACCAAGACGATGACGTCACTGTGGTTTGATTGGCATATTCATCATGGTGTATGAGCCATTATTTTTTTTTTATTTCTGCAGGGTGATTATGGCTTAGATGGCGCTGCGGGCTACTCAGGGCCACTTGGAATGAGGGTAAGTGACATTCCTCTCACCCCAAACGAGAATCCGTTCAAGGCCGGAGTGAATCAACATATCTTTCATTTTAATTGACAGGGCAATGTTGGACCGAGTGGTAAGAGTGGAATTCAAGGTGTAGCGGGAGCTAAGGTACAGTTGCTTAACCCCTCAAACTTCCAAGATCTCATATGCAATCCTTCCTTCTGACTGGTGTGAATTTTCTTGGGAATTAGTTGAGAAAATTTGATGTTGTCTGAGGTAACACTCACAAACCGATAGGTTTTATTTTATTCTAATGACCTACTTGATGGAAACTGTCTTAAAATCGTTGGGGAAAGTTACAAGTGAATCACTTTTGAGAATGAGAGGACAAATATTACCAGCATTCTGGTGTGAATCAAACTATGTGTGAAAAAAAAAATCACCAATTCTGGAACGCCATCCTAGAGACAGACTTCTTGGCTATTTCCAATTTTTGTCTATGAACAAGGGAAAACGAAACAACGCTATTCAGAGCTGTTGAGCGTTTGGAGGTGTTATTGTGCATAAATGTATGGCTTAACCTGAGAATGTAGTGTGCGCCTTTTTACTTAGCTTAAATCATGAATCTCCAAAGAGTACTTTCATGTAAGAAACTATGATTCACCCACGGTAAGGAAAACTCCTGAAACTCGATTTTCTTGGGTATGAAAATAGGAGCAGAATGGACTATTTTTGAACCCACATGGAAAATAAGTTTAAAATTGTTTCAATTGAGGTAGTCGAAATAATATCATGTAAAGACAGACTGTTTACTCAATATTTTCAGTATGTCACAATTTCATATTCTTTTGTTAGGGAGAAATAGGTGAGCCAGGAACGGACGGAAAAGACGGAAAGTCTGGCGTAGATGTAAGTTTACCATCTTGTCGGCAACCATCGGCACCCTCACGAGAAAAAAAGCACTCTCGCTGAATTCATTATGTCTATGTTCTTTGTCAGGGAGATATAGGGGTAGCTGGTTCTCCAGGGAAGTCTGGCGAACGCGGTGCCATCGTAAGTATTTTCTGGCTCGTTTTATCCTTATGGTGTTTGTTTGTTTTTGTTGTTCTTTTTCTTGTTTTGGAAATATTGTAATTGTAGGAAAAATCTGTGCATAGTTTTCATGAGAAAAAAGCAACCCATTGAAGAATTTTTCTGCTCTCAGATAGCGCCCAACTGATCAGCGGAATTATCTCACTCGCGCTTTTTTTTCCTGCTTTTGAGAGTGTTTTTGAATAAGCCAAAGGAAATGGTTAAAGGCTCAGGTTTATATCATGTTCTGCTCTTCTTTTTACTGAGAACTATTTGAACTCACATTTCGTTAAAGGGAAGTCCTGGTGTATCCGGTGAAGCAGGAAAACCTGGAAGAGATGGATCTAAGGTAATGATCAAAATGCAACATGAAAGAAAATATTTCTGAACTTCCAGTAGTTTTAGAGCTATCTATCTAAACTCCAAGCTGGCTTTCTCTCCTATGTTTATCCATAAATCTATTTATTACAGGGGCGGATCCAGGAATTTTTGATTAGGGGGGTCCAAACTTTGGTTCAGAAAGGACT